TAAATTTTCATCCGACTGCATATACAGATTGAAAAATAAGTCAGTAGAAGGTTCATCTCCGCCCATGTTGAAGTTTGTCATGTGCAGAGGTGGTGTGTAGATTTCGTTTGCAGGAATACTAGGCATGCCATCATCGTCGGAATCATCATTCACCATTTCATCAAACTTTAACTCGTCATCTTCTTCTTCTTCATCAACTGCATCTACCTCAGCTTGTTCATTCTCCAAAGGATCAACTACTTGTGTCACCTGAGGCTCTCGCAGCATAACGTACAACTCAATAGAGTCGTACCCAGAATACACATGGCTGGAAAACATATTTTGGAGATCCTCGTCATCTTGGACTTCAACCTTATAAAAAATTACTTGGTTGTTTCCATAAAAAACTGGATTCTGATAAAATATCTGGGTCACCGGGCCTCGTCCAAGTTTGGCCTCCAATCGTTTTTTGAAGTACGAGAAATTGGCTTTCCCGTTTAAGAGAAATCAGATGTTGTCTGTGTCTCTAAACAAAAACCCAGCGGTGGGACAAATGTATGTCTCACTGTTGAAATGTGCTTTGACGATAAATTATGGTGCAGAGGCCATTGCGTAGGATTGTTTGAAGGTTTGAAGGTATGAAGGTTGGAATGTTTGAATTTTATGAGTTATTCGAAGGTTGGAATGTTTGAAGTTTATTGATTGTATGAAGGTTTGAATGTTGTAAGGTTTGAAGGTTGGAATGTTTGAACTTTATGAGTTATTCGAAGGTTTGTATATTTGATTGTTTGAAGGTTTGAAGGTTTGATTGTAAGAACGTTTGAAGGTTGGAAGATTTGACAGATTAAGTGAATCAATGTTATGATAAACGTAAGATTAAAAATTTCAATTAAGTAAGGATGTAACCCCCAAGGCTGCCAATAGTGTTACATGCATGGCTTCCCAAAGGCTGTCACGTAGCCTGAGCCTAGCCTCCAACCAAGGACACCTCTTATTCACCAATTGGGATGGCGACACCATTCATTTTTGTACTCTTTCGCCAAGTCCAATGGTGCCTCCCTTACTGTCCAATCGTGATACATGCATGCAGATATGTAACCCCCTAGGCTGCCACCTAGCCTGTGCCTACTCTGCACCTATATTATATGTTGTAAGTCTCATCCCATCACCTCCAATAGGGTTACATGCATTCAGGCATGGCTTCCCAAAGGCTATCACGTAGCCTGCCTAGCCTGCAACCAGGGACACCTCTTATTCGCCAATTGGGATGGCGACACCATTCATTTTTGTACTCTTTCGCCAAGTCCAATGGCGCCTCCCTTACTGTCCAATCGTGATACATGCATGCAGATATATAACCCCTTAGGATGCCACCTAGCATGTGCCTACTCTGCACCTATACTGTATGTTGTAAGTCTCCTCCCATCACCTCCAATAGGGTTACATGCATTCAGGCATGGCTTCCCAAAGGCTGTCACGTAGCCTGAGCCTAGCCTGCAACCAAGGACACCTCTTATTCGCCAATTGGGATGGCGACACCATTCATTTTTGTACTCTTTCGCCAAGTCCAATGGCGCATCCCTTACTGTCCAATCGTGATACATGCATGCAGATATGTAAGCCCATAGGCTGCCACCTAGCCTGTGCCTACTCTGCACCTATACTGTATGTTGTAAGTCTCCTCCCATCACCTCCAATAGGGTTACATGCATTCAGGCATGGCTTCCCAAAGGCTATCACGTAGCCTGAGCCTAGCCTGCAACCAAGGACACCTCTTATTCGCCAATTGGGATGGCGACACCTTTCATTTTTGTACTCTTTCGCCAAGTCCAATGACGCCTCCCTTACTGTCCAATCGTGATACATCCTTAGGCTTCCACCTAGCCTGCAAGAGTGACACCTTTCATTTTTGTACATGCATGCATATATGTAACCCCCTAGGCTGCCACCTAGCCTGCAAGAGTGACACTTCGCATGCATGCAAGCACCAGCAACCACTATATGAATTTTTTTTGCCTATAAATACATACCATATCATACATCTCTCACACCCACACAAGTCTCACTCTCTGCTACGAAATCTTTCATAATCTCTTACACTTTCTAAGTCTTTCATACTCTCTTACTCTTTCTAAGTCTTTCATAATCTCAAGCATTCTAAACAATGGCTCTTCTAATAATGGGAGATTCTCACAGAGGCACAAGCGAAAATATTGTCGCATTTGTAAGTTTCTATTTTGGTTATACATTTTTCATATTTCAGATAATGCTTTGTTCATCTTACTTAATCTTACACCTTTTACATTATGAACTCAGGACACCAAAAGATTCAGAATCCGTTCTCACAACTACCTGGCTCCCGACCCATTTATCGTACCATATCTGGAATGCGCAGGTTTTGGACATGTCATAAAGATCTCCAACTACACAATTGATTCGAAGTTCATTCTTGCAATGTTGGAAAGGTGGATACCAGAGACCCATACATTTCACCTACCAATAGGTGAATGTACCATCACGCTAGAGGATATGTACATGCTACTAGGTCTCCCTGTCAACGGTAAGGCCGTGAACGGGTCGGTTCAACAACCCAACTCTCAGTGTGAAGAACTGTTGGGCAGGGATATGGTTGAAGGTGGTGGTGCAAGAGGTCAGGGAATAATACTCACTGAGCTTAAAAGTCATTATGCAAGTTTGGAATTAAATGAAAATTCCTCCGAGCAAGACAGGGTAGTAAAATCCAGAACTTATCTTATGATACTATTTGGTACCTTTTTATTTCCCGAAAGTACGGGAAATAGTGTAAATTTTATGTATTTACATTTACTAAGAAATTTTGAAAAAACAAGAAAATATAGTTGGGGTTCTGCAGTTTTAGCCCACCTATACAGTTCCTTGTGCAAAAATGCAGTCAAGGAAAAATGTACATTTTATGGGTGCGCTTTTTTACTACAAGCCTGGGGTTGGTGAAGGATGGAGTCCTTAAACCCCGTCAACAACAACACTTTCGTTTTCCCGTATGCAACAAAGTAAGTCATCAAGTTATATCATTTATTACTATTCATCTCTTCACCAAATATATGCTAAGAATAAAATGTTTTTCATTTCCTTTAGGTACTGCGTGAGGGGTATGGATTACGGCAAGAATCCAAGATTCAATATCGCACTATACCGCAATCTGTTGGATCACTTAGGCCCGGATGATGTACGTCGTAGCTTTAAACTTTTCTTCATTTAAATTATTTATACATTACTTTTGCGTTAACCTGATTTAAATTTTATCGCAGTTCGTCTGGAGACCATATTTGGGTTTGGGCCATGATCCAAACCCGAAGGGTGCAGCAATTTGGACCGCGAAGACTGCAATCATTCGGTTCAACATTGTGGAGATGCACCACAGCGACCGTGTGAAGATGCAGTTCGGAATGCATCAAGAGATACCAAGTGATCCAACTTGTTTGTCCCCATGGCATCTTAAAAGGGTCGACGCCCAGTGGGGTCTTACCAACTGGAAAGACTTCGCTCCGGAATGGTGTAAGATGTGGCAGAGGCATCACCGCTATGTCTTGCAATTCTCAGTTTTCCTTAATCATGGTAATATGCGACACACGGATCAATATTTATCTTGGTACAGGTCGGTTAGTAACCCTGAAATGCACGTGTCTCATCCAAGGTACTTGGCTGACCCACGCACACAATGGGCACAACCATCGTTTCCCCAACAACAAACCCAAAACCCATCAACCTCCCACCAACCCCCAAGAAGAAACAGACCCACAAACACCGAACCACAGTCCCCACCACAATACAATTACACTCAAATGTCCCACAACCAACCCCAATCACCACCTCACACTACAACATTTGTTGTCTCTGGCAACACTTTTTTAGGTAACATGTAGAAATTGTTGCCTTAAATTCATATAGGCAACGATTTACGATTGTTGTCAAAAATATGTTTGCAACCCTTGATAATCGTCGCCTAAAATACTTTTGGGGACGTTTATGGAGCAATACTCTTTTATTTTTTTGCCAACGGTTGTTAATTGTGCCCTTAACTGCTTTTGGGGACGATTTTAGAGCGTTAAAATATTATTTCTTTAGCAATGTTTGACAATTGTCCCCTAAAATATTTTTGGGGACATTTTTAGATTGTTACATTAGTTCTAATAAAAGGCTACATTTCTGAAATGTTGTATAAATTTTTTTAGAATTATCAAATTTTTGGTGGCAATCTTCCCTCCAAAACTTATACACTAAAAAACAAATATTTTTCTCTAAACATTATTAATATATATAAAAAAAAATATTTTTCTAACACAGGAATTTAAAAATAAAAAATTTCAATTAAACAGAAAATAAAAAATTATATATATATATATATATATATATATATATATATATATATATATATATATATATATATATATATATATATATATATATATATATATATATATATATATATATATATATATATATATTAGTCTAAAACTTATATATATTTCAATTAAATAAGAATTTTTCTAACACATTATTAATATTTCTCTAAAACTTATATATATATATTAAAAAAAAATTCATTAAACAGAAAATAAAAAATTTTCTAACACAGGAATTTAAAATATTTTTCATTACTGGTCCTCTCAATTATTGCCACGTCTTATTAAAAAGAATAGAAAATAAAAAAAAGAAAAAGAAACAGATAAGGAAAACAAAAGCAGCAGTTTTCGATTCTCCTTTTTTTCGTTCACACATTTCGCCGAACCTAGCCGCGCTCTCAGACGCTCCGTCCTTCATCCGCTCCGAGTCAAACCTCTTTCGTTCACACCCTCCGCCGTGTTCTTCGTCACTCCGTCCAACTGCCACGCCGTGTTCGTCGTCTACGTCGTCGTCCGTTCGTCGTTCGCCGTCCAACCGCTTTCGTCCAAGTCGTCCGCCGTCCACGTCGTCCAAGTCGTCCGCTGTGTTTGTATGTATTTCTGCATTTATATTGAGGGGACCTCTTAGCCGTTGCCGTGATGGAAAAGGACGTAGCTAGGGACGACGAGTCCAGATTCCAGAATCCAATTTTGAGCGCGCTGGACTCCAAATTGGACGGGTTATTAGCTGAAGCCTCGTTCGAAGAGGACTTCGCTGGAAAAGTTGGACAATCAACGGTTCTCCGAATTGCAGCTGGAATTGGATCCAAGAGAGTCGCCTTGCTTGGCCTCGGAGCTTCTGCTTCTGGTCCGGCCGCCTTTAAAGGCCTTGGTGAGGCTGTTGCTGCAGCTGCTAAGTCCGCTCAGGCTGTCCACGTCGCTGTCGTTTTAGCTTCTTCTTCTCAAGGACTCTCTTCCCTTAACACTGCCTCTGCAATCGCCACTGGTATTTCTTTTCTACTTAGATACAGTTTCTAGTTTAATTTTATTCTCTAAACTTATATATCAAGTATTTTCTTTTTATGAGTTTGTGGGAGTTAATAAAATATACAAGTTAGTTGGTTAATGTTAGAATTAACTTAATAAACTTCAACATTTTTTTTTTATTATAGAGAGGGCCGAGGCCCAAAAGAAAGAAAACTAAAAAACACACTCTATAGAGCTTAAAATTCCTAATTCTATATCTCTAATAATTTACATAAATCTTAAGGTGTTTAGCAGAAGTATTGAATGGTATTCTTTTCATCTTTATTCACTTCTTTCTGGAACTGAATGGTATTCTTTCTGATGATGCTGACTTGGTTGAAGCTCTAAAAGTTGTTGAAAATCTACTATCAAGCTAATGAGGTATTTTCCTGATGAGAATGGTTTCTATTAGTTTCTTGACAATAATGGAAGGTATGTGTATGAGGATAGAATTGTAGAGTCGAAATAAGTTTTGTCAAAAAGGAAGAAGTCAGTGTCTATTTCTGATCATGTTGGTACATCATTTGATTTGTCTTCATTGCTTGATGGTTTATTGTTTGCTAGTGCTAATTAAATCCTACTTTGATGAATAGTTTAGCAAGATTCTAGTTGATTCCCAGGCCTGAGAATCTTGTATTCATGCTCATATTATTTTGGTAGAAAGGGAAGCCAAGGCAAGGGAAGATAAGATTAGAGAGGAAATTAATTAGTAGTACTACATTTTCTTGAATTGAAATTAATTACATGAAATTGTTTTTTAGGAGTAGTAAATTTATTTTGTTATTTGAATATGTATATGGCAATTGTAGTAGCAGATTAGTAAAAGGGACATGACAGATATTGGGTAGATATTCTGTCAATTGTAGTAGCAGATTAGTACCAGACGAAATTCTATTCAATTTCTTTCACAAGGTTGATGGAAAATGATGGAAAAGATTACATAAACACTTTCACAATTTCAATCAATATAAATATTACAGTACTCCCATGTTAATGTTTTTTTTCTGATGTGCAAGTAGGTTTCTTATTTTGATCTTGATCTTTGTAACTCATAATTGTGTACATTTCACATGTGGCTTTTCACACAATTTACTTGCATTCTGTTTTGGTTGATACTTTATTACGTGCATGATGCGGTTCGCGCAATGTTAGCTTAGTTTCTTTTGAATTGTCACTGTTAAGGTGTTCATGTATATGTGTGTTGTTGTACGGTGTTTTACGGTTTGGTGTTGTTTAGTTTGGACAGCATAATTGTGTATGTATTAGCCACAAGAGAACTCTCCTTTAAATTGGACAGCATATATAATTGGACAGCATAATTGTTTTACGATTTTACTGTGAGCAAATGTGTGCCTTGTTCGCATATTTTCTGTAAGTATGTATCACGGCCCGTGTTTATTTCTTATCATTGCATACATTGTTTTTGGATGGTTTCTGATTTGATGTGTGTATGATGTTAGAGCATGTATATCGCGTTTTGAGGACTGTCCGTTATGTGGAGCTGATATTGTGAAGATTGAGCCCGATGACAATCTTCAAGGTGTAGTCGATCGCTTTATTGAAGGTCATGCTAGGATCAAAAGGTCTGTTAATTTAGACAAAGGTGAAGAAGCAGCAGAAAATAATAAGCCTGTCATATACGAAGACGTGTCTTTGGAAAGAGGTTCTTTCTTAGTGCAACAGGCCATGAGGGTAAGTATGTCCTTTTCAAATGTAAATGTGGATGAAGTCTTGTATATGAAGGATTAAATTGAGAAAGAATGAATGATCCTTGATTTTTTTGTCATAATTAATAACTATTATCATCCACAATGTAAACGGTCACAAGTCTTAATTAAGTGACTATGCTATAAGAGCTTATCATTTAAGTGCTTGTTTAAAAACGATTTCTATAACAAAAATTAAAATGAAGTCAAAATGTTTTTATGTAAGCTATAAAATGTTTATCTGGGTATGGCATTGTTGATGGGAACGTTAGCTCCGCCAAAGCTCATGCTTTTTGTTTTACTTTGTTTATGTTATACTTTTTCTGGCCACTTGATAATGAGCATTTTACCATATGAAACTCAAAAACAGGCATTCCGTGCTCAGAAATTAGAAAGTGCCAAATCAAGACTCAGCCTATGTGCAGAAGACGTTCGTAGTCAGATTAAAAAAGTTGGTAACACTTCAGAGTTATGTTCACAACTTGGAGCAGTCTTGGGTATGCTTGGTGACTGCTGGTATGTAATAGGATATTTTCATTGTGTTTTATGATAAGATATTGTGTTTAGTGAAATATGGAAAACATTTCTACTTAGAGGAATTTATCTGTCAAGACGACAAATGTACCAATAGTCCAGTTTAAGAGTCTTTGTGTTTATTGGAGTAAGGAAATTATACAAGTAAGATTAATAATTTTTTTATGTATGTGTGTGAATTTACACCTTTCTATGTATGCCATAATTAAGTAATATTTATTATAATAATTCTGTCAAATTTAAATGTAGACAATCAGTGAAAATAACACTAGAAATAGAGCTCAACTAAAGTGGATGCATCGAATGGGTCCCAAAAACTTTGCTTTGACTAGTGAAAAAGTGGTAACTTTCTTTTGTTCTCAATAAATTATTCCTTGTATGAATGTTTCTTTGTTCAATTAAAGTATTTGTGAAAAACTTTTCTTTGACTCGTGAATAGGAATTTTAATTCACATAATTTGTTATGGAATTATTTTGATTTGTGCAGCGTGAAAAGGAAAAAAGAGAGCCCACTCAATCAGAAATGTTTGTTGAAACTCGAAAAGGAAATAAAGGAAAGGAACTGGATGTAGAAACTGGAAAAATAATTGTATGTAACATTGTTTATATAATACGTTTGCTTAATATAATCGGCCAACATTGTCTATAATAGTAGCTAATATTGTCTATAATAGGACGACATAAATGATAAAATTCAAGAGGACGACCTAAATGATAAAATTCAAGAGGACGACGTAGATGACGAATTTCAAGAGGACGACATAGATCTAGATGATGATTTCAAGAGGAGGATATAGATGGTGAATTTCAAGAGGACGACGTAGATGAAGAATTTATGGAGGATGACATATCTAACGAATTTCAAGAGGACGATCTGGATGCTTTACTCCTAGAAGACAAACTTGAATGAGTTGGATGATGTCTTTTTTTTTGGCTTGTAGTTGAAAGCATTAAACTTGAAATATGATTTTTGTTCTTTTGCTGAACTATGTTTTTAGTTATTTTACTAGGGTCATACTTCAAAGTATTAAAAGTAATATTGTTACGTTAGGCATTTTGTGTACTCTATATACTATATCTTGAATTAAAGTTTGAACTCGATTTTATTATATTACAACTTTTATGGATGTATGGTTTAAGTTATATAATCAATATTATTTTTGAAGCCAATTATTATTGACTATATTATTTTAATAATAATTGCAAAATTGTATATTTTATGTGGACACTATAAAACAACAACCTATAAGCTATGGCTACACTTCAAAAACGATCTTCCTGATTCAGGTTTAAGGCAATGATTGTTAATTGTAGCCGAATTTGGCAACACAACGCTTAAAAAACGTTGTCTCAGAGGCCGTAAATAATCGTCCCCTATTCCTTTACTATAGGCGACGTTTTTCAAAAGCGTTCCCAAAAAACATAAAAAAATTGCCTCAAACAATAGGCAACGCTCGCACAGGAGACGCCTAGAAAACGTCCCCTATTGTTTTAGGCAACGATTTTCAGAGTTCTGGCAACGTTTTTCAATTGTTGCTGGAGAGCCAAAATGTTGTAGTGACCAATACCCTGATATGCCTCACATCCAACCACAATACCAATCACAATACCAACACACCCGCATACCCCACACACATTTTCAGTCTTCCGTATATCCCAATATGGGCCCCTCAACATCCAGCCTTAACCCTGATATGGGAATGTCGGAAGATTACGAACAAACCGACCCAGCCTACCATCAACCACAATATCACCAAACCACCCAACATCCTCAATACCAAACACCCCAAGATCCATTTCTTTTCTACCCACCGTACTCAGACGATCAATGCTACAGACCCACCATGGAACCCCACCCACCTCCAACATGACCAAACTTTGAGGGTATGGGTAACCGACTGTACCAAAGCGGATCTTCTAGATATGGAGATCTGACTGATTTTATGGATCCGGACCGCATTGACTTCGCTGGGCAATCGACCCTGCCGCAGTAGGAAACGCGACTCTAGAAGATCTGACTGATTTTATGGATCCGGACCGCATTGACTTCGCTGGGCAATCGACCCTGCCGCAGCAGGAAACGCGACGACACCCAGCACGGGAAAGACGAGGACGGGGATGCGGAACCGGGGGTCATTACCGGGTTCCGGGGATCACTGATTTATCTGTTTTTTTTTCCTGTATTTTTTTATCTATTTTATTTTTTACCTGTTTTTTTTATCTGTTTTTTTAATGTAATACAGTTGGATGTAATTGTTTTTTTAATAAAAAGTCCATTTTGTTGATCCTGTATCCAATACGCAACGCACCGGACAAAAAAAAAATTCAAATTTTGCCCTAAAATAACACCTAGGCGCCATCTCACTTGGCTTAGGGCATGCCCTAAGCACATAGGCGCCAAGTGAGATGGCGCATCCCCTTAAAAAATGAGAGTAGGCGCCAATTCAGATGGCTCCTCCTTTGGGGAGTCATCTGAAACATGGTTATTTGCGAAAATTTTTTTTAATACATGATTATTCAAAAAAAAAAATTCGAAAATTTGAGAGGATAAATTAAATATAATTTTACTTGAAAAAATATGTATTTTTAAAACAAAATGAGTAAAAAGAATATAAACTAATATTTTTCTACTTATAATTTGTAACAGAAAATGTTTTAAAAAAAACCAATATCCATTATATGCCCTTTTATACGGATAACAAATCCTTTAAATATTTTTAATAGAAAAATAAAAAAATTTGTTTGATTCAAAATCAAATCAAATCCATAAATAAAACTTGTTGGCTACGCTGGAGTCGAACCCTAGTTGCAATATAAATACTATCAAGCTGTTCACTAGTTTATAGCTTTCAAGGGTTAGGGTTTTTACTTTTGAAAAAAAAGTTGAAGAAGAAAAGTATCCAACAATCAAAGTTCAATCATGGCATCAACATCAGCAAAGAAGATCAATCTCAAGAGTCGTGATGGTGATATATTTGAAGTCGACGAAGCAGTGGCGTTGCAATCACAAACTTTAAGGCATATGATTGAAGATAATTGCGCTGATGGCGAGGGAATCCCTATTCCAAATGTAACCAGCCAGACTTTGGCAAAGGTCATTGAGTACTGCAAGAAGCACGTCGAGGCTGCGAATTCTGAAGAAAAACCTGCTGCTAATGATGATCTCAAGACATGGGATGCTGAATTCGTCAAGGTTGATCAACAAACACTCTTTGATCTCATATTGGCTGCAAACTATTTGGAAATCAAGAGTCTGTTAGATCTTATAATTACATATTTTATGTTTATTTTAGATATAGAGTGATAGGTTACTTGTTTTTCTTTCAGAATTATATTTATATATTTCAATCTGATTTAAAGTTCTTTGATTTTATATCAATATCGTGTTGATTGTTTTGTGCATTGGTTCTGTTTGGAATTAATATTGAGTAGTTTCTGTATATTTTCATATGGTTGTATTGTATCATTCTTCTCTTTAGTTTGTGTATAATGTTATGATTGAATGAATGATTCAATGCAGAGACTCGAAGAATAAAAAACTATTATCATTGAAAATTGAATCATTGTATAGCTCTCGTTTCTTCGGGTCTCTATATTGAGATCAATGTAATATAAAAAATTTAAGGGATTCAAAATAGTAATAACAGAATTTACTAGGTGTAAATATTAAAAAATTGCAATTGATAACGAATGTTTAAGAATTACACATCAGAAGAATATCATTTATTTAGATGTTTATCAATATTTTTTTAGTCTTTATTACTATTTTCTTCTATTTAGATGTTTATCAATATTTTTTAGTCTTTATTACTATTCTCGTAATGTCATTAGTAATAAGTTTTTTTATTAAATAAGGTAGTAGGAAGATTAAGAACCAAATATAATTTGAAAGATTAAAAGTCAGTAAGTTGTGATAGTTTATATTAATAGCGGTTATCTTTTCTTGAATGGTAAAAGTCATTGGGTCTATATAAAGACCAAGAATGTATTTTATTTAACAACAATAAAAAAGTTTGCCCATTTCTCTTAACGTTAAATCGAAGTCTGCTTCCATTATAACAATTTGGTATTAGAGCTCATGGCAAACATGATGAATCAAATGTCGTTGCCACGGCTAATGAAGTCAAATTATGAAAACTGGGGTATCCAAATGAAAGCTCTTCTTGGATCTCTACACATGTGGGATGTGACCCATGAAGGGTTTAAAGAACCAACAGAAGTTGGGGGATACACGGCAACTCAAACGAAGGCGTTGAAAGATGGCGAATCCGCCAAACAATAACGAAATCCCACAAACGAATGTGGGAGCAACGGTTATCCCGACCGTAAGTGAAGCGATAACCGCTGGTTCGACACCAGCAGTAACGGTCACAACAACGGGGCCATTACCTCCGTTCACAGGCCCCAGAGTGCCTTTGGGAACACCCCCACCAAGGGGAAATTTAGGCACAAGGCCTTTTGTTCCCCCAGGATTTATGCCACTCTATGGCATGCCAACTTCTGAATTGGCTAGCCTGACGAATGCTGCGTCCACTTTTTCAGACCCTTTAGTGAGTGCCTCTTCGCCACTCCAAGGTTCTGGAGTAGGCATGGCGAATAGAAATAGGACCCAACTCTTAGGAGGAACGTCCCAAGTAGCCCATGGCCTTACAAATGCCTCGACAGCAGTCTTGAGGCAACAAATGGACGAAAGCAACCATGATATGGTGCAAATGTTGGCACAAACTTTGAGTACAGTGCTAAACCCTCTAATACAAAATACTACTCAATCGAATCAGCAAGTGACAGCGCAAATGACGCGTTTGGCTGATTTCTTTGGAGCACCCCAACCTATTCGACAGCCCCAAAGGGCGCAAATAAGGGGTAACCAGGGTGCATTCTTAGAGGAAGAAACCACCATCAACCAGGCTCAACAGCCTGTCGAAGAAAAATTTAGGGCACGATTGGAGCAACCTGTCGAGGAACCTAGGGTAATAACCCCAGAGGTAAGGTTAGTTAACAGAAACCAAAATGCTGACGAAGTAGTCCAGCAGATCCAATACCAGAACATAGGTTTGGAAAATAATCTGGCAACCATGATCGAAAGGATCATGACCCAAAATGGGATGAACATGGGCTTTCGAAGGCCCAACTTCACATCCCCATTGTCAGAATACGTGTTACAAACAGACTTACCTCCTAGATGCAAAGTCCCCAAATTTACTAAGTTCTCTGGGGACACGACAGAATCTACTGTCGAGCATGTGGCGAGATACTTGATCGAAGCAGGGGATATTTCGAATAACGAAAATCTGAGGATCAAGTACTTCCCAAGTTCTTTAACAAAGAACGCTTTTACTTGGTTTACAACTCTCCCCCCCAATTCGATCCATCATTGGACCCAGTTGGAAAGATTGTTCCACGAGCAATTCTACATGGGGCAAACCAAGATAAGCCTGAAAGAATTGGCCAGTGTAAAGAGACGTTTCACTGAACCTATAGACGAATATCTAAATAGGTTTAGGTTGCTCAAGGCGAGATGTTTTACACAAGTGCCAGAACATGAGTTGGTCGAAATAGCCGCAGGCGGTTTAGATTATTCCATTAGGAAGAAGCTAGACACCCAATACCTGAGAGACATGGCCCAATTGGCCGATAGAGTTCGACAGGTGGAACGCCTCAAAGCTGAAAAAGCAAAGGCAACGAAAACTCACAAGAGAGAGAGGATAGCGTATGTTGAGATGGATGACGAAGATCTAGAATCCTTCGACGACACTATAACTGTCGAAGAAGGAGAAGTCGATTTAGCAGAACTGAA